TTCAAGGACTTATTGTTGTCACCGCAAGTACCTTTTTTGGAACTGGGTCAACACAAACAACTGTAACTTTGGAAATACAACTTAATTTTTTTTTTTGGAAATTTTCGTGACTTCAAGTTAACACCTTCTATAATAATGCCATATTACTTCTTTTGCAAAATAACACGATTTAATAGCAAAAGAAAAAAAATACAGAAAATTCTAATTTTTTTTGAACCTTAATGGTCAGTATGTTTGTGTTATCCGTGCGAAAATGAGTTTCGAACAAAGAGCCAACATTAAATTTTATTTTAAAGTTGGTAAAACTTTTACCGAAACGTTCCAATTGACGAAAAAAGTTTATGGCGATGATTTCCTATCCCGTAGCAGAGTGCACGAGTGGCTTCAACGTTTTCAAAGTGGTCGTGACGACATAAATGACGATCAACGTGTGGGTCAATCAAAATCCGTGATCACCGAAAATTCCATCGAAACTGTGAGTGAATACATCAAAAATCAGTCGGAATCATGATTGAAATTTATGGAAATGGAATAGAGCACCTCCACAACATCGATTTATCGCATTGTGACGAGACATTTGGGCTTTAAATTGCTCAGAATCCAACATTCGAAGGACATCATGTGACCGATTATTTGACCAAAAATCGCATTTTAACCATTAACCACTCCCCGTATTCATCTGATTTGGCACCGTGCGACGGAAGAATCTTTTTCGAAAAAGTGCATTTGAACAAGAAAGGAAAACATTATACAGACGTAGAGGCCTTTCAAGAGGCTTGCACCGGCATACTGGCGGCCATACCTGCCAACGAGCTGAAACACTCGTTAGACGTGCTATTGGACGTAAAAATATATTGATTTTGCTGAAAAAAACATTTGTTCTGTTTTTGTGTGAAGACCTGTAKACTTAGCAAATTCAACAGAAATCATAAAAATTTAAAACGTTGTAATGTTTCCAAAATATTTACCGGGATTTAACATAACAAGCATTTGCGGCAATTTATTTTAAGAATACATTTCTTATTAACTTTTGAATATTGTAATATAAATATAAACAACAAGATATTTCAAACCAAAGTAAAGAATTTAAAGACAATTTTGTAATACCAGCCACCATTAATATAAATAACACTAAAATCGAACCAACCTTCGACGAAATAGAATTAAGCAATATGGAAAATGTAAAAAAAAATTAAGAATTAAGGTATATCAAAGTAAATCATTTTCACTTTCGTATAGCAATATCTACATAGCTTTGTTACTTGCACGCTCGGTGTCAATTGTCATCATTTTTACATATGCCATGTATAAAAAATTAAAAACAGCAAGAAAAAACGTTAACTTCGGTTGCAGCCTTCACAGGTGCATTTCTGTTAGTAACTATGTGTTCAGTTTGTATGGAAGCTATATGCTATGGTAATCCGATCTGAACGATTTCTGCAGAGATTACATTGTTGCCTTAAAAAAAAATATATACCAAATTTCGTGAATGTATCTTGTCAAATGTGAAGGGGCAGGAAGTTATGTGAACTCCACAGCCAATATACAAGTACATACAAACCATTAATTGGGCACAATAAATAAGTTAATGTAAACAAATTTTTCAAATGTGGAAAGTGATCGATCCAACCGAAATCGTGAACATCAGGTTTCGAGTCCGTTTGTGTGCCAACAGCTTAAGAAATATACTATACATATGTATAAAATACGTACCAATTGGCCTACAACTTAGCAATTCTACATTAATAAAACCAAATAAAAAATCACTTGATTCATAAAGAATAGAGAAACAATGTACATACATATATAAATAATAAGAATCACTAAGCGCCGACAATAAATTGTACTGCCTAGTGCCATCAAAATATTAAAATTAAGAAAGCATCTAAAATGTCTAAATATTCATAAAAACTAAAATTTTATAACTTTAATTATTAACTTAACAATCCAATTAAATATAATAAATAATAAATATACAAATATATATATTTTAAACAAAATTTTCAGTTTATTTCTTAAAAGCTTTCTAGCAAATAATGTTTTCCCTTTTGAACCGAAAAAAATGTTTTATGAAAATAAAACTAACTATATTTCTATGTCATTCCTGGTGATTGGGGAGTATTTTAAGCAAGAAAGTTTATTCGGAGTGTACGTTATCGCTTTCGTCCATTTGACTACATGAAATGATATATTTCTTTAAGTTATTTAAAGCCTTTATTTTTTGCAGTATAGTCTTTCTCTAATTCTCTATAATTTTACAACCTAGTTCATTGTGCACATGTTGAAATGTTATATGTAAAAACATTCTCTATCAATTACACTTGTTCGGTCAATGATTTTTTTGCTTCCAGTTATTATTTCAGACAAGAATAATAATATAGACTAACTGAGTCTCAATTTAGTTTGAGGCGAGCGCTTTCAATATTTGAAGAAGCCCCATCATTTTTTAGATTTTTAAGAAATGCCTGACATTCTACAAAATATACACAATAATATTTCAACCTCTCTAACCAGGTTCCCACCTTGTATATATTGGGTCTGGTGGAATTGCGACATTAGGCTACCTAYTTGTATTACATACATATAGACTACATTAGGGTACATATTCTTAAAAATTTCAACGCGCAAATCGGATTTCATAAATCCTTTTATTCCATTTGAAATTATTTCGTCAACATAACTGAAGAAGTTCTCATAGCAGTGCTGTAAATTTATGTAAAATGATTTTACCATAAAAGCAGTAGGATCAGTGGCATATAAAACACCTCTGACTTTTCAAAATCAGGAACCAATAATTGCATGGAATTATCGAACGCTCAAGTAGTTGTAAACTGACTCGTCCGTTGTAGACAAATGCTTATATCTTTATCCTAATGAAAAATCCCCACGATAATACGTATTTGCTATAAATCGGTCTCGTACGTCAGTCGTTTCATCGATTCATACCCACAGGATGGTTTTTCAATTGATGCTTCAAGTCGACAATTTACGATCAATATATGTATATGATAACTTCCATAATACAGTATTTGTTGCAATAAATTCCTAACAAAGATCTATGCAAAACTTGTTCATTTAAATTTGTAAGAAAGCCTTAAGGTTTTCTTCTTATGTGCCGATCAATTTGGGACTTTTTTCCACAGCTAACACTTTGGCTGAATATAAAATTACTCTATTAGTTTTAAACGCTTTCTTTTATTCGTTAACATATTTAGATGACATTTACGAAATTGAATTGCGGCATATACAAACATATGTTGTAATATACATATGTACCCAACGTTGATATAATACAAAGTTATGAGAACTTTAAAAGCATATTGTGTAATGATCAGGTCGATTCAAAATGCTTGGTTATAGATTTGCCAAACGATAGTTTTGTTCAGCCTGACTATTGGATGGATACTATTTACTATCTGCAGTATATAATAACATTCATAATGATATAGTCTGGAAATATCGAATCTGATAAGATCCGAGAAAGACACAATACATTGAACGAATTAATTAACACATACAGACCGTACAACTCATAAGCCCAATGCATAAGAAATGTATGATCGATCATAACGTCCACAAGAGTTTCGATTGGAACTATTAATGCGGTTTTAGGAAAATATTGAAATTTTATCGAAAATCTCCGATAGCGCTGTTGGGTAATTAACCGGAGATTTGGCTGATAGGTGGTTCCAATTTCGGTTTTTACACTTTTACTACGAGTTGATTGGATTATAAGGTAATATTAAAAAATAGGTAAGAATTTGTGATATGCAGGCGGCACATAACCTCAGTTATTCATTTCCGACGCCATAGTTTTCCAGTATTTTAATAAGAATGTAATCGTAAAGTGGCCCCATTTTGTTTAGTAATGTTGATTTTACAGAATAAAATTATGAAATTGGCACTAGTGTATCATTCTGTTGTAATGGAATTTCATAATATAGATCAGTGGTCGGCATTTCTTAGCACATTTGTGCAAACTAACTTCACATGTACGCTCACTCTCTATCGTTCAGTCGTTTAGTCGTTGTCGAGCCAGCCATGGATAAAATGATAAGAGACTCTTTGATTCGAGAGAGAGCTGTCAAAACTCGCATTTTTTATAACATTTGCCAAGAAAGCCACTGCTGAAAAATATTAGCTTGGGTATTTAATAAATTATACAAAACACTAATTTAAACACTTAATGCAAAGTCATTAATTGATTTACATAAACAATATGTTCGCACAGTTCAATGAAATTTCATTTTACACTAATTTCGCAAAGTAATTATAGCGCTGCTCTTCTGGCATCCCGCCTTTTCTACTAACTGCTGGTTGAAGGCACCCTGATTGTGTTTTGTTGCCAGCTCAGAAAACAGATCAGGGTGCTTTGCCAGCTGACAAGCGAGAGAGCAAGAAAAGAGATTCTGATCAAGTTATCTATGCAATGGGGGTGAATAATAAATTTGAGAGTATAATCCAGTGGTCGGCATGAGAGGATCTGTCACTGKGTTGGTGAGCACGAAAAAAAAGTAGCCCAGTGAGAAATTTGAATTAAAAGTAAGCAAATTTTATAAGCAAAATTATAAAATAAGTTATTGCTCAATAAACTTGAGAATTATATATGTTTTCACTACGTTGGAGAGAAAATATATGAAAATATTCAATAAAACTAAAAGCTATATATAACTAAACGATTATTCCAATCTCAGAGGAAATAATAAACAGACAAATAAGATGTTCTGCAGTTTCTCGAAATTAAGGGAATATTTTACATATTTAATATAAATATAGCTTAAACTAATTGTTTAATATTATATCTTTAATACATTTATCTACATCAATCTTCTTATGACAATTTCTTATTAAAATAATATTTTTTAAATGGGTTGAAGATAAAATATATGTTTTTCTTTAAAAAGCATTTTCGTTGTTTTCCATACAAATAATTAATAGTATACAGTGAACGTACATAATGCCACAAATCTAATGACGTCAATTGTTGTATTTGCCGAACCCTATTGGCAACATATGGCTTTAGCATCACTGGCTGTTTGCGTATCCAACTCAACCACAGCAGCATAGGCTTTCTGACTGGCATCACAGAACCCATAGAGGGAAGTACGAATAGTTGCATGCATACCAAGCCATCGAGGTGCACGAACCTTATCGAGAATACCTAAGTCATTACGAAATTTAGACCAAATATGACACAGATCTTTAGGTAGTGGAGTATCCCAAGATATACCCATAGACCAAAGAGTCTGTATAAATACCTTGCCCGATATAATGACTGGTGCCAAAAATCCAGTGGGGTCATAGAGTTGGGCTACATCGCTAAGAACTCGCCGCTTTGTCGGCATTTCATTATACTGCTTCAGTGWTACCTTAAATAACAATTCGTCACTCACCGGGTCCCAACGCAGCCCTAACACGGTAGCTATAGGTAGGTGGATATTGGATTCATGTAGAGAGGAGGATTCTCCAATTTTCGCTAGAACAGCGCCTCTATTCGAATTCCACTTTCGAAGTCTAAAACAAGCATTCGACAAAATCATAGATACACTCCTGGCTAAAGTGACTGTGTCTTCAACGTTAGTACAGCTCGTAAGGAAATCGTCCACATAAAATGAAGAAAGAATGGCAGAACGCGGCGATTCGGCTTGATAAAGGTCAGCAACTACTCCAGAATTATCGACAGCACACTGTTGCAACGCTCGCACCGCGTTGTATGGGCTACATGCCATGCCATACGTCACCATCGCAAGCCGATATATTTTAACGTTCTCGTTCGGGGATTCGCGCCAAAGGATACGTTGGAGATCTCGATCCTCCGGGGCTACTAAAACCTGGCGAAACATCTTTTCCACGTCAGCGGTTAGAACAATTGCGTATCTTCGGAATCGGAAAAGGATATCGTACAACGAATCCTGAATGGTTGGACCCACCCGCTGTATATCATTTAGAGAAACACCAATTGATGTTGGTGCTGAAGAATTAAAAATGACACGAAACTTGTCCAGCACATCATGATTCGGAATGTAATATACACGATTGGAATCATTGTAGGTACCTTGAGCTTCCATGTGCCCTAGCTCGATATACTCCTTCATGAAAGCGATATATTTGTCACGTAATGGGGTATCGGAGGAGAGTCGACGCTCCAAACGATAGAATTGCCTTAAAGCGCAGCCATAAGAGTCGCCTAGGGGTGGTGCGTCAGCTCGCATTAGTAAGCGCACCATGTAACACCCTTGCAATGTTCGTGAATGAGTCGTTCAGAATATTTGCTCACATTCATCATCAATAACCTCGTCGCCATCAGACCCTTCGTCGAGCTTCCAAAAGCTGCTTACAATGTTGGCGCTATATGAGTGCAAGCCTGAATTAATTATTGAGGATGTCGATGCGGGTCCAAAAATAACCCAACCCAAACTCGTAAGTTGGGCATATGGTTCATTAGGACCACCATTGATTGCGTCTCCCTTCAAAATGAGACCCCAAACATCAGCTCCTAGCAGAAGGTCAATGCTTCCCGGAGTACCAAAATGTGGGTCTGCCATTTTCAGCCCAGCCAAGTGTTTATACTGATTTCCAAAGATTTGTGCTGTTGGAAACACCGATGTAATACATTGAATGACGAAGGCATGGGTTGCCACGGAAAATTGCGAGTGAGTTGACTTGAGTGTTATTGCCACGACGCCTTTGGTGCGTGTACAGGATAATGCACCAATACCCCCGACCGCTACGTCATAGCTGCTCCTATGAAGATTCAAGGAATTAGCAATGCGTTCTGTAATGAAACTTACTTGTGACCCAGTATCGCACAAAATCCTTGCCAACCGTTCCTCCGAATTGTCCCCAGAAACATATGCACATGCTGTTGCAAGAAGAATAACAGAATCTTGACGTCATAACGTAGTTTGAGCCGGCATTAAAGTTAGACCAGACTGAGTTTTAGTAGCTGTAGTAATTCCACTCTCCTTGTGGTGAGAGGAGGGGCAGACCTTTGTGGTTCTCGACAAAAAATGGTATTATGTATACGGCCACATTGACGGCATCTTCCAGATGCACACTGTTTAGACATATGTCCTGACCTCAAGCAATTAAAGCATAGGCCTGTTTTCCTGAGGGCATCAAAGCGTTTCTCCCGTGGTAAGTCCAATAACGTTGGACAACGCGTGACCTTATGAAGATTTTAACAATATTGGCATTTGGCTTCTTCCATTGAATGATTGCATCTGACGGTGCGCGCAGTTGATGCACGCTGATATTGACTGGATGTGTCGGTACCATCTACGAATTTAGCAAGCTCCGTTGACAAACTTTGAGCCCTTTCTTCCAAGAACTTGAGTAGCTCCGATAAGCTTGACAATTCCGTTGGGGAACAGTGCATGCACCATTCGCGCTTTGTTGTTGGTGGGAGTTTTGATACCACAATAGGCACCGTTAATGCATCCCACTCTTGAACTGCCAAATTCATAACAGCTAACGTATACATAACCACATCCACAATATGCAATAATGATTGCGCTGACTCCTCGGACGCCAACGGAAGATTTAGGAAACGTGCAACATTAGGGTTGCTTAGGGTTATCATATCGTTCCTTTAAAGCTGCCCACAGTTCCTCGTAACCTCCTGAATAAATCCCACCAACTAATGGCACCGCTGAGCAGGGAACAGCTTGTCSCAGCTTACTAAGTTTGTACGCGGTGGGCAATTCTCGGTTATGCACCAAGGTCTCGAATGCGTCCTTGAATGCCAACCAAYTGTGTAACGCGCCATCAAATGATGGAATATGGAGAGGCCCCAATTTCAATTCGACCGATACGTCTGGCCACTCTTGCTCGGACGCAAGCGCAGCAGGCTGGAACATAAGTCATTGTACATCTCTTCGGTGACGTCCCACCATGCTGAATGCACTTCCAACTCCTCCTCTTTCGCAAAACTCAGGAGCGCCTCGTGATTTATGAGCATGCGCTCGTAATGAGATCTGGCCGAATTCAACAGTTGCTCAACCTTGGATGCATCTAATTCACTTGTGCTCGCCTTCCGCACGTGTTCCATTGTACGGGAAATAGCAGATACATGAAACTGGCGAAGATTGATTTCCGCCATGTTCAATCTACGCATGTAAAGTACAGGTACGCTTTACAATTCCCACGAAGATTTTACCAACAAATATCGCGTGAATCCTTTAGGATAGCGTCAAACCAAGTTACTTACTGAAATCGCCAATTAAAATTCTCAAACTTAAACAAGTTCTTAGACCTCACAAAAGGCACCAAAAATTATGTTAATGATTAAATCGAACGCAGGACTAAGRCACGTCTGTTTATTATGGCAATCCAAAGTAGAAGAGAGCTTTACAGCGATGGTAATACAATAGTTAAACGGAATAATAAAAGTAAAGAATACTAGGTAATTGAGGAACAATGCACAGGGTGCATCGTGTGAATGAATAAATTCAAAATAAATCTTAGACAGATATATTCTCTATTATCTTTAAAAGACTTGGAAAATAAAAGGCACTGCATGGCACCAAAGGCAGTTAGAATCATAAAATATTTCTCGCAGGGCATATTTGGTTTTGCGCTAAAACCTTGCGTGATATTAATTCGTTGCTGCATCGACAACGACTGCACGATAGACCGTAAGCATACGTGTGAAGTTATTTTGCACAATTGTGCTAAGAAATGCCGACCACTGGCCAAGTATTCACTGCAGATCCTGATACATACGTACACACAGAGGCATTAGTCTGCTTTCAGTGAACATAGAACAGTAGTAAAGGGGTAAAACCTTCAACAATCTACTAATTCAAAAAACAAGTGGGTTATTAAGGAATAAAAAACTTTAATTAAACATATTTTAGGTTTACATTTCTTAAACTCATATAACTTTCTTCTTCTACGTGCCGCCAATTGTATGTTCCAAGCGAACTCAGGTACTTCTCCCCTTGGTCCTTCCAACGAAGTGAAAGTCTTCCTCTTCCTCTGCTTCCCCCGCCGGGTACAGCTCGAATACTTTCAGAGCTGGAGTGTTCGCCCATTCGGACAACATTACCTAGCTAGCGTAGCCTTCTCTTTTAATTCGCCAAAGTATATCAATGTCGTCGTATATCTCATACAGCTCAGCGTTCCATTGAATACGATATTCACCGTGGCCAACGCACAAATGACCATCAATCTTTCGCACAACCTTTCTTTCGAAAGCTCGCAAGGTCAACTCCTCAGTTTTTGAAATCGTCCAAGGCTCTGCACCATATAGTAGGACGGAAATTATGAGTGACTTATAGAGTTTGTTTTTTGTTGTCGAGAGARGTCTTTACTTCTCAATTGCCTACTTAGTACCTTTTGGCAAGTGTTATCCTGTTGGTGGTGTTTATACTGGTTCGTAAATAGACGAAATTATCTACAACTTCAAAGTCATGACTGTAAACCGGGGCGGGAGAGCTCAGTTGCGAGTGCGCTGACTGTTTGTTTAATGACAGGATATACTTCTTCTTGCCCTGGTTCACTACCGAACCCATTTGCTTTACTGCCAGTCTGTAGAAAGCRGAACTAATGGCGCGGGTGTTGGGGATGATGATATCATCAGTATGCGCAAGCAGCTGTACACTCTTATAAAATATCGTACCTCCATTAAGTTCTCCAGCTCGAATTACTTTCTCCAGCAGCAGATTCAGGAACTCGCACGGTAGGAAGCCGCCTTGTCTGAAACCTCGTTTGGTATCGAAAGGCTCGGAGAGGTTCTTCCCGATCCTGATGGAGCTTCTTGTGTTGCTCAACTTCAATTTACACAACCGTATTAGTTTTGTGGGGTACCAAATTCAGTAATCGCTGCATAAAGGTAGCTCCTTTTCGTGCTATCAAACGCAGCTTAGAAATCGACGACGATGTAGTGTGTGTCGATTCTCTTTTCACGGGGATCTCCCTTTGTGTGGATTGGGCAGAGCACACTCAAATTACAATCGTTGGGCATGCTTTCGTCCAACCGTATTTTACAAAGAGTCTGATGCATGCTCCTTATCAGTTCTTCGCCGCCGTGTTTGAATATCTCTACCGACAAGCCATCGGCCCCCGCCGCTTTGTTCTTCTTCAGACGGGTGTTCCATCGTCATCGATTGGTTAATCGGGTCTGCCTTCTCCTAGCGGTTTTCGCTGCCATTCAGCAGGCTGGAGAAGTGGTCCCTCCATAATTTAGGTATGCTCTGCGTATCGGTTGCTAGATTACCTCTGGGCGTTATACAAGAGTATGTTCCGGTCTTTAAACCTTCGAGCATTACTCTTGTCGGCTAGCATGTCAAGCTCTTTACACTCACACATTTCGGCTTCTCTTTTTCTTCACCTATCGGTATCTACCCCATACAGCACGTGTTGTGGTCGATCCTAACGTTGCGAAGTAGGCCGCCTGTTTCTCTCTGCTGAGACAGGGCACTCTTTGTCGTACCAGCTGTTCGTTTGCATTTTCCGAAAACCGATGGTTTAGGTTGCAGCTGTACGTAAAGAGTTTGAAATACCATTCCACAGTTCCTTAAACCGAGAGCAGGAGTTCAAGCCGAGTACAAAATCATTCGACTGTCTGTTGTGATTGCACCTTCTCGACGTCGAACTTTCCTTGTGTTTGTTGCCTTGCGTTTGGGTATACAGCCAAGACGCAACAGGATAGTGGTCCGAGTCGATGTTAGGACCTCAGAGCGCACGCACGTCTAAAATACTGGAGACGTGTCTTTCGTCTATCACAAATTGATCGATCTGGTTGGTAGTTTTCGATCTAACCACAGCTAACCATATTTGGGCAGGTTTTGTCGTGTAGGCTGTATTTACCGACCGTAGTGCCAAAGATATCTTCTTTGCCCCCCTGGCGTTAAAGTCGGCTAGCCCGATTTTGAGATAGTAGCTAGTGCAGCTCTCATAAGTGCGCTCCAAGTGCTCATGGAAGGCATCTTTATTCACATCGTCCTTCCCTTCCGTCGGGGTGTGGGGAAGGTCGGGGAACTTCGCCTTGATGCGGATTATGGCTAGATATTCATTCACCGGGATGAGTTATGGTACTCGGCGACACACAAGGACCAATTCGTCACAGTCTATTTCTTGGACGGCGGTGATGTTAGCCTTTATTTTCATGAGGACATTAACCAACTGGAAAGCGGCACCTTCCCAATTAATATGCCGGACATTCCAGGTGCATGCCCCCAATTCGTAGTCCTTATTTGGTTTCCCTTTGTTTACGTGGCGGGTCCCAAACCCAGCGCACAACCCTATATAGGGTATGTTTCGACTTCTCACTTTAGCTCGCCTTCAAACGGATGTTCTTAGGCTACGCAGAGGATACTTGGTCAAAGACCGGAAGTCGTGGGCTGCTTGAGCTATATGTAAAATAGTCGCTGGAGAGGGTAAGCGCCGGCGGTAGGCCGTTACAGGAGTTCTTTGAGAACGCCGAACGTTAACACTGGTGCGCGAAGTCGGTTGACGCCGTAGTCGCGTCTGTTGGTGCGCCCACACACACATTTGGTAAGGATTATTGGATGGTGTGTTGCTCTGTGTAGAAAAATTGTGA